GCTCTAATGCAGTTGTTAAACCCGATCAGAGGAGAAGAATAAGTCAACATCATACGGAAAGACAGGAAGGCGAAGAACACGAACTAATACAAGTCAAACGCCCTGAGGAATGAAGAGTTTGTGTGAAGTGTGGTTGTCTCACGCCAAGGAATCATTGAAAATGACTTTAAGATTTCTTCTGGCGATGCAGACGTAAGGAATTACCTCGAAACCATAGCAAATTATCTTGGTTTCTGCGAGGTAAATTTGCTTTCACGTGACATTTTCTCTCACAGTTTGTACTGAAGAGATCTTGTTTTCAGAAGTTTTCCTCTTGGACTTTTCACTAAAATGAAATTTAGTTTGGAAACGCATCACCCCCTGAAATTCCTCTGCATAAAGGCATTGAGTGATCGTGAAAGGAGTGCGCTGCGAAGGGATATCTTGAGGAAAAGTTCCATTTTCACGACGGGATTCACATGAATGCCGCCAACGCGCGCTTCTGCCCCGAGCATTTCTCCATTGGATGGTGGAAAAAAAAATGTGTGCAGAGAATTCAATGGGACAAATGCCAGAAGTTGGAGAAATGTTTTCTCACCCATGCACGTTTACACCTTCATGTTCTCCCGCCGCATACTTCCACGGGGCGCCTCCGCCCCCAACTTTCATTATTTATATGCAGTTGAAATTGACACGATGCTCTATTACTCGCTCGACAATATATTGTGCAGCGTCAAGAGACAGTGTCTGCTGACACTCCAACGCGCTGTCCTGGACGCTATGGCGCCAGGAAGAGATGCGGAAGCTAGCAAAAGGAAAGTCAATCGAAATTTCAGACCATTTACTGGGATTATTCGATCTTCTCTTTATGATTTTTACCCAATTTCAATAATTTTTTGATTATTTACGGATATTTTTATCAAAATTAAGGTATTTCAGCCCTGTGATAAGAGCGCTGGGCTTTAGTTTCTACTTTTAAATGCTAGAATCCAGCAAATTTCCTTCTCTCCTGGCCCAGGATCTCGTCAGAAAGTCATAGATTATGAAAAGAGAGAGAAAATTATAGGAAAAATGTGGTATTATTAGCGTCCTCCACGCCAACTTTGCTGCCCTCTGGCGACGATATATGGAGAAAATAATCAAATATTTAAATTTTGTTTCAATCTTTACAGAATATTCAATGATTATTTGATTTTTTCAAAGTATTTTGCCGGAAATATTCAATTTTGAAATAGTTTGCTATTTTAATTGGAAAATCAGCATTTTTTTTATTATTTTCTTTCTTGAAATCTTGATTATTTGATTTTTCTACACGGAGAGCTTTAAGATTGTTCCGAAATTGACTTGAGCATCGGAGTGTGGACAGTGTGTTGCGCTGTGTGGGTGGGAAAAGCACTCTTGAGGCTCTTCCAGAGCTTTTGGGATTTTCAATAATGTCTGGCAAGTCTTGGAAAACACATGAGCAGATATAATGCTGAGAAGCAGTGCGCTGCCTTTCAATATGTCACATGCATTGTCTCATCATTTTCTGCAATTGACTTTCAGCTTGTAGAAAATTCACTTTTCTCCAAGACACATTTCACCTCTGCCAAGCCTTCGTCTGTCCCGAAAAACCACAACAGTATTTGGCATTCCCTTCGTCTTAAACTATTCCAGAATCGATGGATTGATGGAGAATATTATGCTGGAGATTGCCACGTGCCTAAAACAGACACATTTGTCGATGGGACAACCTTCAAGGTGTTGTGGACTGAAAGAAAGCCGAAAGACAATCAAGTGGATTGCCATGAATCTCCTTCGCTACATTACAATCACATTTAATCTCACACTCCCGAAAATCTGCCCAAAAGGATTCCTCAGGACGCACACACGTGTCGCTGAGTGAACGGTGAAGAGAAGACATGTGTCTTCATCAAACTCACCATCCTTCAGCATTTTGACCACCGATCCCAGTGTGGCAAAGGACTAATTTGGGAAGTCGCCGAAGAAAAGGGAGCAGATTGTTAAATATCAGCCGAAAGACCCAAATCATGGCAAAACCGACACGTTGTCCTTTGACCTAATTTTGTGGAAAATGGACAAATATGTCAATACAGGATATTTATGATAATTCCAGGAATTCTCTCTTTAGATGTTCCCAAATTTGAACATCTCTAAATCGACGGATTTTGCAGTAAAATCGCTGCTAAATTTGTGAAATTTTCTTCATAATCCCTAAAATACCTTTCCATCGTTTGATTGACGATAATTATTTTGAGAATGTTCCAATTGATTTTATTGGTATTTGAGTGATTTTCAGTCAATTTTTTTTTTATCATTTTTGACTACATTTAATCCAAACAAGTTCCAAAAAATCAACTTTTTATACTTTACTGACACTTTTCTCAAAGTTTTCAAAATTAAAAAATAAGAGATATGACAAATATTTTACTCATTCAAAATCAAAGGACATTTTTAGAAAGATCCTGAAAATCAAAAATAATATATTTATCAAAAAGGCGTTTTTATGCGTTTTACTGCAGTTTGAGACAATTTTCTTGGAAAAAATTAAGACGTAAAGTATGAATTGTCGACATTTCATAGTTTTCGATTCATCCGTCGAAATTCGCAAAGGAAAATAAAACTCGTGTGAAAAATCACCGAAAGACTCATTGTAGAATCGCAATGGAGTAATTTTTGACTGAAAAGACATTAGCCATCAGGTTAAGCATTACTCACGAGGAGTTAAACCTCCTTTTTTTCCGAGAGAAACATTTATCAATTTCCTGTTGGAGGCAAAATAAATTGTCTGAGCGTTAAGAATCAGATGTAATGACATAAAAGAGGCTCGTGGAGTAGAGAAAAAAAAAGAAGAGAGGAGAAAACTTTATCTTTTGGCGACACAAGGAGAGAGGATGACAGGAAAAAGGATAAACTTTCTCTTCACGTGCCATCTCACCGTTCTCATCAACTTCCGCCTTTTTTCCTCCTGCGTCGCTCCCTAATTTTCCCAAAGCATTATTTACATGCACAGGAGAAAATCATTTTTCAGCCGCGGCGCGAAGGGAAATTTATGTAAATTCTCTTGTTAGGAGAATAATAGCGCTCAAGGGTGGTAAATTGAGAAAGAATTAAGCCACTTTGTCACCAAACTTTCTCTCCACGTCGACAGATATTTGGAATGTCTGCACAACGTGGAAAACTTTTCAATCTGCCGAAGAATGATGATTATGGACTGAAGAATCCAAACGAAGTACGCAAAATTGTCTCTTTCAGACACGAAAAAACACATTCGACGGATGAATCAAATATTATAAAAAGTCAATTTTTCATAGTTTACGTCTGAGAGATTTTTGAAATGCTTTTTATTTGTTTCACTATACTGAAAACGTTGTCAAATTTGTATGTTATAACGGAAAAATTGCAGTTTAGAAAATTTATATATTCAAAAAGAAAAACACGACTGGAAAAAACGTTTTATGTGTTTTTCATAGTTTATGCCGTACATTTTTCCCAAGAAAATTGTCTCAAATTGCAGAAATTTTCCTAAGTTATTCTTAAACTTTGAAAAATTTGAAAAAAAGTAGTTGCAAAGTATGAAAAATTGATTTTTATAACTTTTTTGGATAAAATGTACTTGAAGATGAATTAAAATCGACTTTGCAAAGCAATCTTTCAGTTTCTGTCATATTTTAATAGAAACAAAATTCCAAAAAAATATTCAATAAATACCAAAATCAACTGGAACATTAAAGAAATAATTATTACAGAGCAATTTTTGCACACTAACGAACGATTAGAAGGTAATTTGTGGGGATTTTGAGGTAATTTCAGAAAATTACGAAGCAAAAAAATATTTTTTAACTCGCATTCTTGCTTTCTTATTGTTTTTCTCTTGAAATTTAATTCTTTTTTTTAAATGCAATCAAATGAATTCAAATATAATTTTTTGCGCAACATCAGTGAAATGTTTTAAGAATATTTGAGAGTTTGAGAATAATTCACTAAAATTGTTTTTTTCAAAATCTGCGTTAAATAAACATTTCCCGGATTCTCACCTCTTTAGTTAAAGTCTTTCCAGCGTCATAGCGACGATCATTTGGGGTTGAGGAGGAGAATTAAATCATGCCACAAGGTGTTTTCTGGCCATCAAAGCAAATTCCCGAGAAGAGGAAGAAGACACCGCCGACAGCGAGGAATTCACGTGAAAGCCATCCAGGGACTCTTCTTCCCCTCTTCACAGCACAACCGGAGGGACTTTCGGGGGCGCGTCAGGAGTGTTGTGACATTATTCATAAATTTCCCTCCTGCAGCCGGAAGTTGTGGGAGGGGCGGGCAAAGGAAGCTCTCTGCACACGCCCTGCAGGGCATTTGGGGCGCAATCCACCCCCATTCTGGCCACACACCGGGCATAAATTCATGCATGTCACAACGGCGCTCGCGTTCTGTTGAATCCCTCATCCGCGGCCAACTCGCAGAGACATCCGACAGAAGGTGATAAAAAGCTCAGCAACCCAATTTTACGAGTCATATCGTAAATTCCACCCCCGCGTCGACGCCTTGGAGAAAAATGTAACGGCCAAGTATCCGCATAAACGCCATAAATCAATGCCATTGTAGACATGTGTGGCAGCATATTAGTTCCCCTCCGCCGCGGCTGCTGCGGCCCTGCGGCGAAACGGGGGCGCGCAAGTGGTCAATGCTGAGACAAAAGTGCAGCACAAGATGCGACAAAGCCACCCCCAAAGGCTATATATTTCAGTCCAAACTTCGCCCGCGCGGAATGAATTATTCACCACGATGCAGTCGCGCATTTGGCGCCACACAAAGAGACAGACGAAAGGCATTGTGGAAAAGAGGATTCACATTATATGTATTTAAATTATTCCAAGATCAAAAGGACAATTTATGCTTAAACAATGATGCCCAAAATGTTGAAAGAATTCACTTTAAATTCTGCTCTTCAATTCAACACAAATATTTCACTGATTTCTACGCTTATGCTAATGCGGACTTTAATTCAACTGTTGGCTCAAAGTAAATCACTTGTTGTGCCACTTGAAGAAAACATTACTTCCAAGTCGTCTTGCTTGATAACCAAAATTTCGCTTTGCCAAAGCAGCATCACGATGGCAAGCAAACTCCAAAATGACGCACTTTCCGCAGGGTTTCATGAAGAAATGCACCTGCCAAAGAAAAGTGTTGCATTAGAATTACTACAAATGCTTTTCTAGGTTATGTAATTGATTTAAAACCTTTAAAACTGATTCTGACGGTTAAATAACACTTAAAATCATCAAATTTGTGTTCAAGCTAGGAATATTTCTCAAAAAATCTAATTTTAGTTTTGAAGAATGTTTTTTTTGTTTCATTATTGGAAATGAAACCTCATTATTTTGTAGAATCAATGAAATATTCGTTATATTTACTAATTTTTAAGTCTGAAAAGATTAAAATTAGCCCAAAAAGGGTTTTTAAGTCGAATTCATAACCTCACAATTTTTCTAAGGATTTTCCGAAGACAAAACTTGAGAATAGAGACAGAAAAACCAGAAAAAGCGATGGAAAATGCCTTTTGAGGCGCTCAGAAGTGTCTGAAGTGCTAAAGACATATTATCTCCCCCTTGATATGTGATTTTAAATCTTTTTTCGCCAAATTTTGCGCAAATATACTCAAATATCATCTTAACCCACATTATTCGCTTGTAAATTCGGTTCATTTCTTGGAATTCCCATTTTGTACTCTTCCTGGAAATCCCAGGGACTTTTCCTCCACTTTGTGTCACAAGAAAAACCAAGGAAACTCACATGCTTCGGTTGGATGTGCTGCTGAAGCTCTTGGAGAATGGCGACGTCCGGAAGGCTGGGATTCATGCCGCCCAGGATCAGCTGTCTCAAGTTCCTGCTCACGGAAGCCCTCAGCGTGTGTCCGTGAAACACGACGGCGTTGAGTCTGTGGGCGGGAAAAAGCGCGTGAATTGGGGCCCATTTTCCGGGTGATTCTCACTCACTTCTTGATGGCACTCCTGGCGTGAGCCTCATGAGTGTACATGACGTAGCAGAAGCCCCGATTTCCACCCGTGATTTTCATCATGAGGCGCAGCTGGAAGACACAGCCGAACACGCTCAGCATCGGCATTATTTCACACTCTGTCACTTGGGGTGGAATGTTGGAGATGAAGACCTGCTTTTCGAGGGGAAAATTGGCTTCTTATCACTCATGTGACACACTTTTCCACCGCGGCTTTACCTCAAGACGCTCTTGCGGCTCCAGCGTCTTCAGCATCTCGGGTGGCCCAATGATTCGCTGCCCATTCACCTGAACCACCTTGTATGACACGCCACACACTGAAAGAAATGCCATTATCAATGATTTCCCGGGAAAAACACGTCGTTGAAGAGAAAATCGCTTCAAAATAGGTGAAAGAAAAGCTCAACTGAAGCGGCGTGTTTGGAGTGAAGTTGGCCAGTTTGCGGGAGAACTTTTAATCGATTTCCGGAAAAATATAACCTTTTAGAATTTTCAGAGATTTCCACAGTTTTTTTTACCTTCCTTTTTGCCCAGAAAACGATGGATTTGTCATGAATTTTCCTTTTCCAATAATAAAGCTTTCCTTTCCGCACAAATGCTTTAACGTCGAATTTTTCAAGCACTGCACAAATAACGATTGAGGTGGAAAATCGATGGAAATCAAATGAATATTTACAGCTGTTGTGCATGAAATAGTACAATTTTACAAATTTTACACACTTAAAATAGAGAAACTGGAAGTTTTATGGCGCAAAATGATGATTGTTGGGTGGAAAATTGGGCAATTTCTAGCCCCAAAAATAAAATCACACACGGCAACTTTTCACAGTGTTTTTCACACAATTTCCAAAACAATTTATTTTAATTGAATCTTCCACGCAAATTCTGGTCTATTTCAGCGTGACTTAATTTGTAGTCATTCACAATTCCGCATCGCGCAATTGCGGGAATGATTTGTGTGGTTGAGGGCAAATTAATCACCAGAATTGCACACTGAATATATAATAATATTGCACTGGGAAATTATTGTGATTAAAAAGCATCAAACGCGCGACACTTGAGGAATATTCCTATCAAATTCACGAGCACAAATGACGGAGGGAATTGAGTGAAACTTGTACTGTTTCTCAGTCTTTGGCAGAAGAGAGGGAAATTCCAGGAAATCCTCGCCGAAGTGCGAGAGCCTTGAGAGAATTCCAAGAATCATAGAACTGATGAATTCCCAGAATTCTCCTCTACTTGTCAGCTTGAGCTGGAATTCTTCGCTCTCTTCGTCTTCTCTGGCCGCAAAAATTCAATTTATGGTTAGTTACGCTCGCGTAGTGTTTCTTCTATGTAATTAAGTGTGTGTGTGTGGCTGAGGAAATATGGAAATTTAGAGGGATTCCCAGGAATTAATAGCTCTAAATTCCCACTGAAAACTATTTGCCTTGCGGGAAGAGCAATAAAACAGGGATGGATTTTCATATTTTGGGCTTCTTGTCAATTTTATGGTAAATTTTTATCAATTACTGTCGGATTTTTCACATTAATTTCCATAAATACGAGAAAATTAGATTTCAATAATATTTTAATAGGAACAACAAAATCACACTTTTAATAAATAACATTTTAAATTAATTACTATAAATTTTCGGTGTTAAATAAATGACATTGTCATAAAAATGGAAAGTGTAATTAAGTGAATTTTTCAAAATGTATAAATATTTAATTAATTACTACATTATTTCATCCATGTTTCAGAAGAAATTTTGAATGTTTCGCATTTAATCTCCTCGTGAAAATAAGCTTTTTCAATTGGATTTTAAACCAATTCAACGCACTTCACTTGCCAAAATGCTGTTTTCGATTACTTTTTTTAATCCAATGAAAAACTGTGTAATAAAAAATGTGTATTTTAAAATAAAATCCAAACATTTGTTGATATTGGATTTTTAGTGCCAAACGATTGTGCTTCCGATTTGATTTATTTCGTCATTTCTGAAACTAGGTTTTCGAAATTCTAACTTAGATTTAAAAAAAAATTTAATAAAATACCCTCAAAACAGCGAATTCAAGAAGTTTATGCTGGAGTTAGAGAAAAGATGACATAAAAGTGTATCTTGTGGGTGAAAATTGGAGATTTAGCAATATTAAATTTTAATCTTTAATAATTGGGAAGATTTCACAATTCCACACAAGTTTTTACCGCAAAACCTTGCGTAAAACCCTAAATATTCGATTAAAGGTTAAGTATTTAAGCAAGATTGTCTATCTATTAGTGTTTGCAAGGTTCTTAGCTGAGAAATTCGATTTTTACGTTCGAAAATAAAAATTGTGCAAAATAATTTCTATATTTAGAGAATTCGCTAAGATTCTGCTTACGGATTAAATATTTTACCATACAAAATATGTCCAAACATGCTTTAAAAATTCTTTAAAAATTATTTAAAGTAGGTTTAAAGATGCAAAACAACTCAAAAAAATGTAGAAAACAAATATTTACTCCTTTAATTCCATCAAAAGTCAACATTTGCCAATGAACGCAATGTAATATTTTCCGACTTGATCCAAAAATACAGATATTAACTATCAAAAAAAACGGCTACAATATTAGGAACCCCATTAGAAAATCGGACTTTCAGTCACAAATGCCTCTCACCCTTCTGAGGTCTTCTATCTTATGTTGTTTAACAAGCATAAATATTTGAGAACAATGTTGAATGAATGGAAAATCGCACACGCGCTTGCATTCCGCCAAAGGGCGCCGATATTTTGTGTGAACAAAACTCCTACACGAATTTTGACGACTAATCAATTTGAGTCATAAAAGCTCCCATAAATTCCCATTTTATCTGGGCAAAAGAGAAGAGAAGAGAAGAATTCTGAGCTATGCCAAGTCTGATTTATGCCATTCCGTCTCTCCTGGGCAAATATCCCAAGATGAAAAGTCATTTTCCATCCATTTAATGGAGAATTGTCTGTGTGTGTGTGTGTGTGTCAAATTAATGAATGAATGACTATACTTTGTATTCATGTACAATTTTCCCAAAAGTCCCTCGTCCTTTGCTATCACAACATATGCTTTTTCGCTGCCAGCGCACACCATCTTTCCCCATTTTTTATCGCCATCTCATCCGCTTGTGGCCCAAAAAAGCATAGAGCCTTTCCGAGAAGTGGGATATATATGCGGGTGTGCTGTTTTCCCCCTCCGCACAGCGCGTGTCTACGGAGGAAATTCTGGGGAAAATCTTGCAACAATTGAGATGTTGTAACGAGGACGCTCGACTCACTTTCATGGTGATCCACCCCGCTATCAGGGCCGGAAATGAATGGCACATCAAAGCTCAGGAATAATAATAAATACACTTCAAGTCCTCCCTCACCCCACAAAACTGTGCCACCCACTCGAGATGGGGTGGGATTGATGGCGGGGAATGGAAGAATAATTGTTGCGAGACAATTTATCACTCTCATGCGCCGTGGTTGGCGAGGAGGAGACGCAAAGAAAGGCCGCACACAGAAACTTTCTCCACAACTTTCACCGCCGCCGCCGCTGCCCATCCCAAAAAGCTCCTAATGAACAACTATTACTGTTGAATCTCTTCCTTCATTTCCTCCTTCTTCGTCCAATTCACCTTCTATTTCTGTCCTCCGTCGCATTTCCCATTGACACTTCCCGATGGACGCGCCTTTTCCCTCCGCTTTTCAAGATTCTTGAAGAGAAATATAATGAAATCTTCATTATTTCTGACTCTGAAGCACAATCAGTGAATTTTTCCTGGGCAAATCTCCGCTCGACCTACTTTCGCAGCCCAGACAATTATTTCAGCGGCACTTGTGAATCAGAAATAGTATCATTATTAATTTTTGACACAGTCCAGAGACTGAAAGTCTCACAAAGACCGGAGATCAAGGGGGAGATATTATGGTTAGAAGTGGTGCAATAACTTCATTATGATTGCAAAAGTTACTTTCAATAGGAATTCACGCAATACTTGAGGAAAAGGAATTGTTCTTTACATTTCTTAGGTTATGTCATGAATTTAAGACAAACAAGACAAGAGTTTGTAGAATTTGCATTAATTAAGATTTCAAGTTTTTAATGTTTAACTGTGTGAATTGAGTTTAAATTATTTAAAACTGGCCTATTTGAGGGTGTTTTGACTGAATTTCAACTCTAAAACAGCAGATTTCAGCTGATTGTTGATTTATAAAAGATTAATATGCCACAGATTTCCCTTCAAAAGATTATTTTAAGAATTTTTTTTAATTTTCTCAGGGTAATTTTTAGCTTATGTTGAAAAATGCATCCAAATGAGCGATTTTAAATTGAATCACATCAAAATATCCTCTGAAATCTTCAAATATTTCTTAAATACAGTCTCTCTGTAAGTTTTCAAGGTCATATAAGTAAAAATTACGTCTTTTTTGGGACAGACTCCTAAAATTGAGGTTATGATAGTTCAGGCGGTCGTCTGGCTATATTATCTCCCCCTTAGCAAAGACTTCCCATTTCTGTGATTGATGTGGAAGTCTTTAAAGTAAGAGAGCTTTCGTAACTTTGCCAGTCCCAAAGGAAGACACCGAAAGCTTTGTTGTCGCAAATTTATACCTTATTATATCATCATGTGTTCTGTTCCCCCGGAAGTTGAGTAAACCTGATGACCAACATTCTCCTCTAATTCTGACCTCAATATTCATTTGACTCGAAATGCTAAAGAAAATATCAAATTCCCTTTATAGTACTTGCCAAAAAAAAAGAAAACGAAGGAACCGCAAGCTCTTCTGCAGGAGGGAAAAAAGAGGCAACAAAGGGAATAAATTTCAATTTTTTGGTCCTTCTTCTGCGCCGCATAAATTTCCACGTGGCGGAAGAATGCAGAAACATCGCTCCTTGAAAAAGCATTTATATTCAAATAACAGCGAAATTTACGGGAGTGTGTTCTAAATTTTCATTTTATTTTAAAAATATAATAAAAAGTGATTAAAATGGCGGTGGTGTGAGGCGCAATGTGCATGATAAATTCCGCGGGATTAGATTAATCCACGAGAGCAAGTCACTTCTGAATATAAGCGCGCCAAAGCCACAAAGAGTGAGGAAAAGGCGTCACGAAAAGCCATTCAATGAATATTTTCCCGTGCACGCGATGGAGGAAAAAAAACAGGGACATAATAGAAAATTATAGTGAGAAGAATCTCATTTGAATGCCGCATTCTTTCGCACCTTTTGTACCGCTTCCATTGTGGAATTTCGCAAAACACACAAAATTTTCATTATATGAAATATTTTATGGCTGCGGTATTTAATATCATTGCATTCCGGATTTATTCTATTGAATTTTTCAGCACTATTTTCTCGGGGATGATATAAAATTCTCCCCCGTCAGATGACGAGAACAGTTGAGAATGAGTCAATTTCGGCATATATTCAAGAATAATCAAGTTGAAGATTGGATATTTTAGACACAATTTCAAGTCTTTTCAGACTTTAGAATGATTAAGACTCCTTATTTCTTAACTTTATTTATAATTCTTAGGGAAACTCTAAATTCAAGTGTCGATTTAAGTCCGTTTCAGTATTAAAACCAGTATTTTTTTAATCTTTCATTTTTGTACACGACAAAACTTGAAATTATAAAGCAAATTCCTTGTTTTTAGTCCAAGAATGCAGATAAAATATATTATTTCTAGTCCGTAAATACGTAAAATTACGTTTTCACTCCAAAATCGACTCTAAATAAATAATTTGATGAAAAAATCACTTTGTTTTAAGTATTTTTCAAAATCTCATTAGTATGACGAAAAGAACTTAAATTAAGCTGAAATATTCTTAATTCTAACCATTAAAAATTAAAAAATAAAGAATAGAATCGTAATAAGTCTTTGAAAACCTTAATTTTACTTCCATTTTCCTAAAAAGACTTGAAATAATGCCGAGAAAAAGGTATAAATTTTATGCAAAAACCAGGATCGGTTGATGGAAAAGTCAAAAACTTAATTTTTGACGATCCGTAAACTTGAAAATATGTCGAAAAGGACTCAAATTTAGGTGGATTCCTAAATTAAAGTCACAGCGAGAAAGTGAGAAGAAAATGCTGGATTTTCTGCATTTGTGAATCTTTTTGCAGTTATCTTGAAGCGGTGCTTGTGAATCTGGTGGAGAAAAGCCGTGGCGGGAAATTGTAAACGGCATTTGCTTAAGGGTGTCACGAGGGTTTCGGATGTTTGTTTTCTCTGTGTGCGCAATTGTGTATCTTTGCGTGAGTTCGGATTCATCTCACTCTCGCCGGGCCTAAAAACACATTTCGCAACTTGGCAAATTTTCAATAGACACTTCAGCATAATGAGGCGTGCGTGGCGCTTCAATCTCAAGAGCCTTGGATGGAGTTTAATCACACGCAGCGGAAGTCGAACGCGATAATGTGACAAATGACTGGGAATTCAATTTGTCGATCTCACATAATCCACAATCATTGCTCGCCTGTTTGTCAATTCATTTAGTTGATTTACCAAGTTCCGATGTGAGCAAATTGAATAATTTTCGCTAGAGTGGTCAAAGCGGCGTTGCTGGGCGAAAAAAACACCCCCTCAACCATCCCCAGACAAATTCACGGTGCACACATTGAGTTTGCGGAAATAACATTCATAAAATGGTAGCGTGTTTTGTGTCAAAATTAGCCCTTTTCCTCCCCCTCGCCAAATTGATTCTGCAATTAAGCCGTGCAGCAATTTGAAATAATTCCAATTTCGCATAGTAATGACCTATGCGATGTTGTTGAAAAATAACACACCGCGACTCCGCCTAACATGTATGAAACACCGCAAGGGGTTGCTAATGTGGATTTTGAAGGCTTCAGCATCTTTCGTCTTCGCTGCATCGCGATTTAGATCCTAGAAAATATGCCCAAAATGACAAAGTAGAGAATTCTGTGCGAAGTTTCAAGAAAACGTCAAATTGTGTCGTCGTCGAAAAAAATTTTAGGTCTAAAGATCGATTTTAGAGCGTTGAGAGAATCACTTAAACCAAAAGTGACGCTGCATCCCCAATATGAGCCACCCCTCGATGAAACACTCAATTTCAATAAATATTTAATGAAATTAACCCGAAACTAAATTTCAAATTGCGGCCGGAACAGCCGAGAGAGACTTTTGTGCAATTATTGTGAAATTTAATCCACGGGATATTTTAAGTATATTAATCCTGCAATCTCAATGCAAATTTATATGGAAATTCATGCGGTTGAACTTTGACTATTTTGCAGTGGAGAGCGAACATCGAGCGGCCCACAGAAACGCCATCGCCAATGGCGAGAGTCAATTCCTGACGAAGAACAGCACAAGGATCGTGAGCCAGAAAGGCGGCCTCGCCGTCCTGCCGTGCTCCGTCGCCCTCTCAGCACCCGCCACTGTAAGTAAGTATTTTGTACTACTCACGCGGTCGCGCCATCCGGGAAGGGTTAATGAATCTTTCACATTTCAAATGACCAGCAATATTTCCGCGCGCAAGCAAAGTTAATCAAACATTCAGAAACTCCCTCCTTCGTGATAAAGAGGTTATTCTTGCTGTCACGCGCGCAGAGCAGAAGAATTTCTTTCCCAGTCATATTTTGAGGGTGTAAGAAAGGTGAGCCGAAACCTTGTCTCTTTGCTTGAAATGTCTCGTGGGGGATCTTAAAGAAGGAGAGAGTGGAAAAAAAAGCAGTCGCAATTCTGCAAAATAAATTGATGGCGCACGACAGAAGTATGAAAATGTGTTTGTTCTTCGTCACATGATAAATTCAGAAGCATTAAAAGGCTTTTCATTTTCGGCGGCACCAAAGAAAGAAATTGTTTGATAAAAGTAAAGCAAATGAGACCGGCTTTTGGATATAAAATATGCATCCTGAAGCATTTGTCATTCCCGAAAATGCCATTTTAGCAGAATTTCTCATTTCTCTCACAATAAGCAGAACATTTATTTTCATGGGCATACTTTATAATCATAGAATGGAATTTTGTTAAGTGAATGTCGTGATTTTGCCAGGGAGAAAAAGCGACAGGGGGTGATTTAGTGGTCAGAATTGTCCAAGGATTAACTCCTGAAAGTCCATTCAAAATGAGTATTCTTTAAATTGAGCAATTTTGATGCCTTTTCAGCATAATTTCAAACTTTTCGATCATTATAAATTAAATTTTTCACATTTTTTCAGCCAATACTGTTTTTGCATAAAATTAACACATTTTTTCGGCATAATTTCAAGGTTTTTTTCGGAAAATAAATGAAAATTTAAGGTTTCAAAGACTGCTTTCAATTCTAGTCTTTTTTAATTCCTAATGGTTAGAATTTAAAATATTTCGTCTTAATTTAAGCCTATTTTGTCTAATTCAACGCAAAAACAGAAATAATCAAATTTCAGATTTTCAAGTTTTTCCTCAAATGAGAAAAATGACAATTTTTTCATTTCTTCAATAGAAAACTTTGAAAAAATCGATGAAAAGTACTAAAACTGGATTTCTTATCCGTCGAATTAGTTTTTGAAAATTACTGAAAGCGATTTTTTTGAAAAAATTTATTATTATCGTTATAAAACAAAGTCAATTAAGGAGTGAAAATGTATTTAGAAGAGATAATTCTTATTTTTATATTTCTGTTCAGAACAAATTATTACTTTTAGTCTGTAATAAACATGGTTTTTATTTAAAAATATTCTTGATTTTAGTATTTTTAAGAAATTAATTTTAGTTCATAGGTTCACAATATTCGCAAGACTTTATGCTGAAAAAAGGCTTGATTTTAGTCTTCTCCGTTTAAAATAAAGACTAAAAAAATCTTTGTTAATCGGTTTTCAACTGTTCTTGAATATATGCTAATAAATTGCCGAAGAGTAAATAAACAGTGATAGTTAATGAGTCAGTTAACACGGCAAACAGACAAAATGGATGAATTTTTAATGGGTTTCTGGGACATCGCGTGCTGCTGTTGGGGCTGAAAGTGCCCGGGAATTGGGATGCTGTGAACACATCGGAATTGATGGCGCGATGTTTCCTTCCACCCACGCAAGAACAGTGTCACGCAAGAAGTGTCCCCAGGTGTGAATTAATTCCTTCGCATATCCTTGCGCAGGTCTCCTGGTTCCGCCGGAAAGACTTCCAACTGTTGACTGTGGGCCTGCTCACGTACAGCAGCGACGATCGATTCCAGGTGGAGCACACGCGGCATCTGGGCAACTGGGCGCTGCGGATAAAGAGCTGCCGGAAGGAGGACGAGGGCCACTACGAGTGCCAAATATCCACACATCCGCCCCAATCGATATTCGTGGAATTGCGGATTGTGGGTGAGTATTTTGCCACGGGGCGCCAATTTCATTAATATTGAATTCACAATTTCACCATGTGCGCCCCACAATTGACCCTCTGCGCTTCTCCTTAAATACATCACCTAAATATCATATTCACTTAATCAGCCGTGCTGGCCAAAGAGGCTTTTCCGGGCCATCTCCACGTTCCGCCGCATTGCAATATTGAGCCTCCCTCTCCGGCCAAGGGGTTGCCAATGCTGGAATTGTGATTATTTACAAAAATTCGTCGAATAAGTGGAATATTTGGAGAATAACACATGAATTTACTGCAATTTACATCAATTTACTGTGAAAAAAACTAAGCAAATAGACATTCTTCTAGACTCAAATGACATTTTTAAGGTTATGATTGGACTTTTAAGTTGATTTATAACCAACCTAATGTTTTCCCAACACAAATTCTTAATTTTATGCCAAGAAAAACAGAAATATTCCCAACTTAAACACAGATTAGATGATTTTGAGGGTTTTTTAAGCATCAGAATCTGCTTTAAATCAATCACATAACCTAGAAATGCAATAAAAAGTTCGTTTTTCCACTTGCTTGGCTTTTCGTGCCATCTGGGCGACTTCGAATTAAATTAAATTGATTTCGAAAGTGTTATTCTTGATGCATTCTTCTTTGTTATTCCGGAATAATTCACTAATGCTGGATGCTGAGGCACTCAAAACCCAGATGAGCAACCCCTTGTCTCCGGCCCATATTTGCCATCTGGGGCGCCGCCCAAATGCCAACATAAATTCCATATCATATCCTCTCCACGTCTGTGTATGGGAATTACTCGCTTCCACGGTTCGTTGATGATTTCCAAGAGGAGATGAATACCCATGGACTTGTCTAATATGCTCAAATGACCATGGATGGCTATATTTTGTCCGAGTGAGGTTCGTAAATTCAAATTATGGCTCGGATTGCTCTTTGTATGGACCCGAAACACCGCACGGCAAGGGCATCATTTGTAGCCGCAATTGAGGGTCTTTTTCTCAGAGATTTATCATTGATCTGTATGTATTCCGGGGAGTTTATTGAGGTTTGGCAATTTAGCTTAGGAATTGAGCCAGGAGAGATTTTATGCATGGAAATTGCAGAATATGAACTGCTGAACAGCCTCTGGAAAATGTCGAATTAATAACAACACTGAATAGACACGGAAAGTTCTATGGGTGAAATTTTCGCCTAAAGTTATTTTCTCATGAAACATCCAAAATGTCGTTTTACGGCGAGGAAAATTCCCAGTAAATTATTTGCCGGTGAATTTCAAAGAGTGGGCGATTTAATAATATACACCCTGATGGCTGTAAAGCAGCAGAAGAAGACGAACAATCTGAAATTTATTGTAAATAAAGGTGAATAATTTCTCAGGGGTTCACATTTTATGCTCAGGCTAAGGAAGACATCAATGAGCTTTTTTTTTCTCTCGCAACAAACTCTCCTGATAAATTATTATTTTAATGACTGCAAAAGTCATCGGGTCGGGCACACTTGTAGGCCATGGGGATTCGCAGCTACGGCACTAATTGAGATTGTTAATTATCCAGAAATGGTGCCATTACGTGGCGCCTAATGGGCTAGGATGAGCACAGAATTACTTGGGGATGAAGCTCTGTAAATTCTCCACTCTTCACAATTCGTCTGTGAATATCTTCATTCCGTCCGCTTCATAAAACACTGCACAAGAGCCGCGCAATGTCTCACGATGATAAGATGAGCCAAAGTTAATAGACTTCGCAACGAGCTTCTCTTCGCCCCATTTAGATATTTAGACGTGCATATTTGCGCCAAGAGTTTGCAAAATTGATAGATTGTTTGTCGAGTCAAACTTTAAGTAAATTTCCAATCTTTCACGCCACATTTATTCCACTTTAACATTGCATCAGCAGAGGAAACTTGCTTCTTTTCTCTATAACTCGATTTGCAATTGTGCGATATTAAAGTATAATTGTGTAGCATGTATTTAATATAACTTGTGCGTCGATGGTGTTTAAGCCAAGGGGGAGATAATATGCCTTAAATCTGTACTTCTAAATTTGCTTGACACTTCTAGAACAGGAAATTTGAGAACACTGAAGAAAGAATTCACTTAAAGCAGCTTTTCGACGAAAACCTCAAAATATCGCTAAAAGATCTTCGAAAATTCTAAATCATCTGTTATGAGCTCAAAATTGTCCAGAAAGATGATCTTATTGAGGTTATGTTCAATTTAACCTCAATTTACAGTATTTCTTGGCATAAAAATGCTTCATTCTGCCAAAGAACAGCGATTTCTCTAACTTGAGCATAACAATCGATGAGTTAGAATGCGAATTAATCACTAAATCAGTCCGTGATTCATTACATAACCTAGAAAAAAAAAAGATTATTACGTTTGTTTCTGCGTGAAAATCGAAGACAATCCAAGAATCTGGATGATTTGTCAGCAAAAGAAGCACTCAAGATAGGAAGATTGTAAGCGTTTTTTAACACTATCACTTCTTAAGGACTTCTGAGCTGTACACCACTTCTGACTGTATTATCTCCCCCTTGGCTTAAGCGTGGGTGAGTGGAAAAAGAGAAAATGGTCACTTTCACAAACTTTTCCCCACCCAAATGGCCTTCAAAAGCATCGCATTCGGTGTACTTTTTCGACCAGGGCTTTTTTTCGCTTTGTTCAAGCACAATTTATTCATGAGAATTGTGTTGTGTTATTTAAGTTTAATAAATTTTGAAAAATTGTCTCGCCGTGCAAAATTCACACTAATCCATTTTGTCACCAACAGAAGCGGTGGCGGAAATAATTGAGGCGCCTGATTTGCATATAAACGAAGGCTCAACGCTCAGATTGGAGTGCAAACTCAAGCGAGCAACCGAAAGCCCACTGTATGTTTTCTGGTAAGCATTGTTGGGTGTAATTTTCTGCGGGGAGAGAATTATGAATATTACGCTGGGGGTGGAAATATTTTTCACTGTTTCGCGCCCAAAAAATCAGGTACCATGACGCCAGAATGGTCAATTACGACTACGACGACGGGGTCTTTGTCTCCGCCGACAAGCACGCCACTTCCAGTGTCTTGACTGTGAGAAACGCCACCATCCGCCATGGAGGGAACTACACATGTTCTCCCGCAAATGCCAGGCAGGCCAGCGTGATCGTCCATGTTCTGAAAGGTGAGCAGAAGCCCCGCGAAATGAGTTGCGCATGAATGAATTATCGCTTTTCTCGCGAATCCGCATTTATCACAGTTCGACGGATGAATCAAGCTCTATAAATAGTCCATTCTTCATTTTCTACATCTTATGTTTCTGTGAAAAGCTTTTTATCGGATCTATGAATTAAAAAATTTTGAGATTTGCAGCGTTAAACGCTTTTTTGATAAATTTATTATTTCTAAATTTTCCTAAAATATATTTAGACTTTAAATGAATAAAATATTTGTCAAATCTTTTAATCTAAAAAAAACTATCAGTAAAGAATGGAAAATTAATTTTCAGAGCTTTTTCTTTTGATAAAATGCACTCGAAAACGCTTAAAATTGCCTTTGAAAACTACTAATTTCAGTTTATCGTATAACTTTGCCATATTTCACTTAAGTGCCCCAATAAATACTAATAAATCAACAGAAACTTTCACAAAATAATTTTTATAGAGCAATATTAGCACTTTAATGAACGATTTTAGGGGTGTTTGAGGTGAATTTGGCAAATTTCGGAGCGATATGAAGCAAATAAAGATGTTTCTTGTATTGAATACTTTGAATTTCCATGCAAACTTTCGCGAAAGTTTCTTTTTTGCACTCGCCAAGCAGCAAATTCAGCATAGCTAATTAAGAAGCCGTGCTGATGGAATGTTCATGAGCGAACACTGGGAAATGTGTTCCTCGTGGGCTTCAGCATTTTTTTTTGCTCAGCGAGTAAATTTTCCATTATGGTTTTGTGCCCCGCAGGGGAGAAACCCGCCGCCATGCAGCACCCCAACAAGAGCATCGATCACCTGATTAATTTCGCCACTTCGTCCTTCCGTGTCCATCTCTACATCTTCATTCTGGTGCTGATGAGAATTTGTGCTCTCAATTGAAAACACCTGGATGGCGTCCTCACACAAAAAGGCGCCCCGAGAACGTTTGGGAGGGGACGTGGGAATGCTGGGTGAAAAGCCATCGCTATTTCCCACGAAAGATAGCGTGGGAGGAGGGGAAAAAATTGGCGGATATGGCAGGGACTAGAGCTAAGCCGCATGCATAAACATTGGGTTGAACAAGGGTACACCTCTTCCATCCAACACTGTGCAGCACACGGGAGGAGCTCTGCACGAGCGCGAGGAGATTGCGGTGGTAATATGGAATACTTTAGTCAAATAGTTCATCCCATCGTCAGTGTTAACACGAAGAAGCTCTGCTAATGAGTGAAACATCGCATTATCGTGTATTATGCCATGTCTCGGGACGCAAAATGCCCTCGTGAGGAGTGGAAAAAGACGCCCACCAGAGTGGAGAAGATGTTGCATAAAAGCTCAATGTAGAACGTAGATTTAAGGACCTCCCCAAAATATGGTGCTCATACGAGGGTGAATTCTTCATCAGGAGACTTAATGAAGAATTCCGCAGCATGATGAACTCCAAGTGTATACCAACAATGAATTTATACATGAAACATTTTTCGAGCACCATCTTTCCATGAGATGCGAAGCCGGGGAATTTTGTAATCTCACAAGGACATCGCATGATATATTCAAGAATTTTGGAGATGCTTTCGAAAATTAATATATTTCACAAAATTACAAACTCCAACAGTCATGCGATTTATTAACATTATCCTTTGCAAAGTGTACGAAAATTATATGATTCGATTTTGTCCGATTGACATAAAAATGGTGAAACTGTGATAATAGTTTACATTCTCACATGATTGCAAATTAATCTATAGATTTCACTGTAGAAGAAAAGGGATTTTAATGAGTGTTTCCTGATGAGCTTACAAAATTCTCACATGGATGAAGAATAAATATAAGACAAGGAGTTGCTAATGTCGGAGATGCATTTATAAATATTTGATTTGATTGTAATTTAGACGCGAAAATGCGATATTACCCAGCTTTTCAAACGAGAAATGTGGAAAACAAGGTGAAAAATGACATTTTGGACTCTACAAAGAGTTCTTAGGAGAAGATCCAAAACCCAAGGATGGACATTAAAGCGTTAAAGAGAATGTGAGGAAGGATTATATAGGAAAATTGATAAATTTAGGCGTGGAAAAAATTATTTATCGGGGATTTTCATCACAAATGCGAAAATTATGAAGAATTTTGAGGAAAATAAAAATTTTCAGCACACATTTTTTACAGCAAAGCCTTTTTCTGGACTCCTTTTCTCTCTCATTTATTTATTTTTTATTATTCACGTCTTTTTTAATTCACGAAATATTTTTGACGATGAAACGAATCAATCTGGAAATTCCCGAATAAATTGCATCTCCGTGAGGCGTGATGCAGTGGAAATTCAGTCGAATTTCAGTCGAAATGCAGTCGAGATGCAGTGGCACTCAAAACCGACATCAGCAGCCCCTTGATGTAAGAGATAAATAAGATATTAAAGTGTGAAACTTGTTAATGATAAGAACAATAACCAAGAAATAAATGTAGTGGGAATTTTCGTTTGAAGCCCCTTCCTTTCAATGAAAAGACAAGTATTATTGTATTAAGGATTTCTTTACATATATGAAGTATATATTCTATATGATATGAATTGTATCGCAAGGCATATGTATTATATTGAATAAAAATATTTAATTACAAAAAAAACTGACGCGCCTATGAATAATTCACATCATCGTCGCTTCATTAATTTTACATCCAAAAGGTCACTGGATAATTATTCCATAAATGTTGTTCTCGTGTTAACAAATTCTCTATTGATTTCATTAGCATTGTTTAATTTTCTCCATTGAATTCCCAACTTTGTCGCCATAGGAAATCGATTGTCAAATGTCATGGGAATTTTTCGGCAATGCCAGCAGTTGTAAGTTTATTTTATTCATTCCATATGAATTCCCCAAACTGGGAAATCACTTTTCAATGGGAATTTCCCTCGTGTTCCGCCAACGCTGTATCTCAGAAGCTGTCCAAGCATTCACTGAAAACACAATCCACCGTTTTCCACCGTTGCTCTGCGAGATTCCTTAAAGAACTTCTAGACAAAATTTATCTTTTTGAAAATCGGACAAACGTCGAAACTGTCCTGTAGAAATCCTTCAGGAATTCCTTAGGCAAATTGCGAGATTTTTTTTAAAATAAGAAACTTGATTTAAAGTAGAAATGCTTAAATTTTTGCAATTTTTGGTTCATAGTTTTGATTATCTGTTGTTTATTTTACTCTCGGAAATTAACTTTTCTTTAAGTCGTAATTTTGACATTTTTCTAGGTTATGTAGCTAATTTAAGACTAAATAATACTTAATATTTTCACTTTATTAGTAGATTTGCATATTTTTGCTCAACAAAATTCTTTTTTTTTTGAAAACTAATTTTTTTCCGCGAGATTTGCAAATAAATTCTTTTACAGTTTGTCATCTTGTCATATATTTTCTAGGTTTTGTGAATGATTTAAAACGAAAAAAGAGATTCAAAAAGAATATCTTAAGTTGAGAATGAAATGATTTTCATTTAATAATAAAGAATTGTGTTTTTGAACTCAATAAAAATTGCAATTTTGAAAACTAAAATGGTTCAAATCAAACATAACCAAAAGGTTTCCTGAAAAATCGAGTGTTATAGAATTCATAGTTAAATTTCAGTTAGTTTTTCATACAATTTGTACAAGTGTTATAGGAAGTGATGTACATATTTTAGCCATATTATCCACCCCATGATTTTACTGGGCAACACAGAGACAATCGCTTAAGACGTTAATGTAATAATTTCTCATGACTAGATTTCCTGTCAAACAATTTTGAGGAAGCTTGAGCAATTTTCTCGTCTTCCCGCGCGAATCCTAATTAAGAGCTTGATGGGAAAAAAATCCAGACTGTGTAATAAGAATCTCCAATACGCCATATATAATGAAATATTTCCAATCAGCTGAAAGTGTCTGACGGAGATAAATGTGCAATTGTGTGCTTTCCGCCACTCCAAACAGATCCTTCGCACTCCAAGGAGCTCCAATGGAGCGACAAATAGGATGCTCTGGTGCTATTTTTTACCAACTTCCCCTCGCCACCGATGAAATTAAATTCCTTTGACAGGATAAATAATGAAACTCATCGCGATGTAATAACAATAATAATCACAATATGTTGAGCACTAAACTCTTGCGCGCGATGGTGGAGCTTCTGGGTGGCGCCAGAGCATGAAGGATCCCATCATCTTACATTATTTACATTCTCGAGTGTTGTATTATGAATTTTTCATCTGTGGCGCCTTCCGCCGCAGATGAAACTTGCGGCTTCTTATCTGAGTGCGTCGCTTTGGTGAGAAGAAGAGTTCTCAGATGCTGTGCTTCTAATTAAAGGCTCCGCTTCTTCAGCGCGCGCTTTGATCTTTCTCTCAGCGTGAATTCTAGCACGGAAAAAAATTCCTTGGATATTGAGAGATATTTGTGATCAACGTCTTTTATCTTCTCAAATTTGCAATTCATCCTTGAAAATGTATCCAAGGGGGAGATAATATACCTTCAATTTATACTTTTAAACACTTTTACAGTTTCTCTGTGGAATCATAACTTCTTCAGACACTTCTGAACTTCTTTTAAGACATTTTCCATCGCTTTTACAACATGTTTCTTCCGCTCATTTCTAACTTATCACACTTTAACCCAGATTTTTCCGTCTCAAGAGGTTTAAGCTCTTCAAAAGCTTAGATTTCAGTTTGTAAGAACTGTTCTGAAAAGACATTTTTGAGGTTATGATTTACAAAATTGATTCTTTGAGCATTTAGCCTAGAAAACCGGTAAAATTGAATTTTCTAAGCAAAAGAATTTAGAAAATGCCTCAATTTGTTGCAAAGCAGATATTCTAATTTTATCACTTCCTTTTAAAGTTGTACACCACTTCCAGCCATAATATCTGCCCCTTGTTCTTGAAAAGAATTTAATTGAACGCTGTGAAAAGCATTATTTTCTTGCTTTGGATGCATATTTCAACCTTCCGCTTTATCTTCGCGTTTTATTTGACTAAATTTATGCATTGTCGAAGTTCCATAAAGTGAAGCGAGAATACAATTAGCGAATTCTCATTTTGTACGCCACGCACGAAGATGCTTATGAGGATTACATGAAGTTTTGCATGGAACATCCTTTGGTGAGTCAACATTCTGCGGATGCAAAAGCGCAACTCCTTTTCTCTCTCTCTCTTTCTCTCACGAGGGGTGAACAAAGGGGTTGGTTGTAGAAATATTGAATTAAGAAGTTATACGAAAAGTTCTCTGGATGCGCACAAAGGAGCACCTCAAAAAAGGAGAGAAAGTTTGTGTGACTCCCAAATGTATTTGACTAGAAGTTGTGGCATGAAAAGTGAGTTTTATTATGTTCACACGCGATGCAAATTTCCAACATTCTTGCATCAAGTTGATGAGTGTTGCTGGAATCTCACTTAGTTTTCACCCATTTTTTCCCACGCGTCCACGGAAATGACTTAATTTGGAGCCTCTTGTGACGATGGCTAATTGAATTCAGCACTCCTGTGATGTCCTTTTTGCCCACTTGACGAGTGCAGTGCGCGTTTGTCATGTTTTGGGCTTTTGAATAAAATTTTTTTGCCACTCAACATTGCGGAACAAAACTAATTTTGTTGTGTACTTTTTAGCCTGTTGACCCCAAAAACGTGACTGAGTGCCTGAAAACTGTTAAGCACATGGCCCAACACACATCCAATAATAATGCACAAAACTTTTGAGCTTTTCAACCCTCAAAACTCTGCGTCCTCTCGGCAAAAATGCCGAGTTTTGTCCAAATTTTATACAATTTCATTATTCTCACTTCGCTTCACAACATGGAAAAAGTTGCAAATGTGCAAAAAATTCAACCCTTAATCAACTTTATTTGCCACAAATGACCTTCTGCAAATTTAGTGGGTTTATTGACAGAAA